ACCAATAGTGCATATACTAGTACAAAGATTAAATTAATAGAGTAGTCGCTAGTCTAGTTAATAGAAAATACCATAAAAAAACGATCTGATAAAAAATATTTAATCCTAAAAAGTACTCTCTTTGGCAAATGTTATTACTGCTTGTCTGGTTGTAATCTCTTCCAGGATTCTTTACAGTATGAGAGAATATAAACAAGAATTGTATATGTCTTCTGAAGTTTCGTAAAAATTTGACCGAAGTCGGTAGTTCTTCGTACTTTGTGTTAAAAGTGCAATTTTAAATTATTATTTCAATAAGGGAAAATATTTAAAATTGTACAAAATGAGTCATTGGTGTAACATTGTACTTTTGATGATAGAATTGTACCAGAAAAAGTACAATTGTACCAATTTTGCCAACCCTGGTGCAGACATACAGAAAGAAACAGGGATATTGCAAATTCATTCTAACAAAACAAATTTTATTGCTAAAACGAAACGTTTAATGGTGTTTCGTATGTGTGCTGATGCTGACAATGTCCACTTTAAATTTTATACGGTTGAAAGCCTTTCTGAGTGATCGGTCGGCTGGCTGTCCATGTATACCTTATAAGCAAGGGACTGGTCAAAGAAATTTGTTCTATAGTATATATTAGGCTATAGTGCACAGATAAGGGACTAGACTCTAGTCCATTATTGGCAGGATGATAGTGTATAGTCCAGACAAGTGTGTGATATATATTAATGTATACCTGTATAAGATATGTATATAAAATGTATATTATATAATAAACTAGCTATACCCAGTGTGCTTTGCTACCCTAAAAGAAATATGTATAAATAAATACCAGATTTATTATATGTTAGATATGAAAGATGTCAAGCAAATTATGGCAAGTTCGCCAGTTTCTATCTATCGCCAATTTCTATCTATCTATAAAAAATTTGAATAATATTAGAGTTTCTAAGATGCACGAAATTTTGTATTTAATTCATATATCTTGTGCCAAGCCACCCAATGAAAGTCCGCCCGTTATGCTCTAAATGTTTACATGAATTTCAAAGTTCTCCATGTAAAATTTGAAGATTCTAGCTCTAATCTTTTCTCAGATATACGAATTTTTCTATTTGATTCATGTGGGGGCTTCAAGACCCCCCAGATGAAAGTCCGCTTTTTTTTCCTCCAAAATGTTCAGATGAATATTTAAGTTCTTCGTGCGAAATTTGAAGAATTTAGTTCCATTAGTTTTCCAGATAAACGAATTTTTGTATTTAATTAACATGGGAGGTGCCGCTCCCCTCATGGGTAGTCCGCCAATTTATTACCCAAAATGTTTAGATAGATGTTAAAGTTTTTCGTGCAAAATTTGAAGACTCTAACTGTAATAGTTTCCAAGATAAACGTATGTTTGTATTTAATTTATATGGGAGGTGCCACGCCCCCTAATGATAGTCCGCCTACTTTTTGTCCTAAATAATTATATTGACACTAAAGTTGCTCCGACAAAATTTGAGGACTCTAACTGTTATATTATCTAAAATATACGGATTTAATATTTTCTTAATATAGGCGTGGCTCCTCGCCCACTTGGAATTTCAAAATAAAAAGTAGCCCATTACCTATTCCAGACATACAGGAATACGCTGTGAAAATTTGAATAATCGGTTCAGCCGTTTAGTAGTATATAACGTTCAAACATACAAACAAACACACATTCATTTTTATATATATAGATAAAAACTTTTACAAAAGCAGAATATTTATAACTAATCATTGTGTCGTTTCTACAATTTTGGAGCAGAAGTTAGCAATCCATTGTTTAACTATATTTTTTATATATTTCTGGCAATTTATATAAATATGTGCAGATTTTAATACATTACTTATGTACATATGTATATTATAGTTTATGTGAAATTTTAAATTACACTTTTGTCATAAATAATTTCATGAAAATCTAAATATTCTTTTATTATTGTGGCAACGCTACATATAATAATTAAGAGAAAAGGAAACTTCAAAAAACCTTACTTAAAAAAAATTTTTGATTGGCACTACCAGAGTTTAAAGTCTGAATAAACTATTTTTCTGTTTACTATTGACTATGCAATAAATAATTATCATTTTCATTTTTAAATGCAAACAAACTCAAAAAATTTAAACAATTTTCCTATTTCATATACGTTAGTATTTTTCTATCGAACTGCCGTTTTAGTTTTTGTAAAAAATATTTTGTATTTGTAAACTATTTCAACAGTAAAACTTTTTTGAATATGACTATTTCTGCTAGTAAAAATATATAACTGCCGAAAAAATAAAATTTGAAAAACTAAAAAATTATGAGAATATATAAATATGTCCACAATTTTGTATATCAAATTTTTTCCGAATTCCGAAAATTAAACTGATGATGGGCATTTTCATGAGGTCTACCAAGACTATACAAATAAAAACCCTTCTAACTTTTGTATTTTTAAGATAATTTAACAAAATTTTATACATGGTCTTCTATTATACTAAAGACGAAGTGTGTTGAAAATATTTTAAATCGGTTCATTATTTAACTTAGGTCCCATACAACCGGACCACTAAATAAAGCTTTAGGGCTCATAATTTCGTTATTCGATTTTAGTATTTCTACAAAATCGGCAGATCTATAATTTATACTTATGACCGTCAAACGTACAGCCGATTTTTTAATCGTTGGGCCTCGTTTGACCCTAGTCCCATATAAGGAATTTTTCAGCAAATTATTTAAAACTCCTTAACTCACTTATAAACACTAGTGTTGTGTTCAAATTAGGCAGTTTTATGAAAACGTTAATCGAACTAAATTTCATAAGGATTGCTCCATATTTAATCCTAGTTCCCATATAACACCACTTTTTTATTTGTATCAATAAAGTGCTTAAGTATGATAATCGGTGGACCATGCCAAACGGGATTTCTAAATATTTAGTAAAAGCGATTGTATATATGAGCAATGTTTTCAGGTACCTGTACCTCGTTTCTGTAATTTTCGAGAAATAACTTAAAATATAATAGTCTTCCAGTTTTTAACAGTGGGACTCTGATTATTTTTCAACTGTACTCATTAAAATTTAATAAGAAATTTTTAAATTTCTTGTATTCACCCTGTTTTACACAAGATGATCATGAATTTTTCGACAGATTTTCTCGATGCGAGAATTACAGAAACGGGGTACTGTTTTATTTAAATAAAATAAGTATTCTCAAACTTGACTTTTTAACGCGATAAAGATCAACATACCGCATGATTGAAAGATCTTTTATCGAAAATTTTCTGTTTTTTAGTTCGATTGTTTTATTCAACTTTTTAAATTTTTTTAGTTTTATTTTTTTGAAATAAAATGTTTGACTTAAAAAATATGAAATTGAAAATGAAATTTGACTGTTGACTAAAAGCAATTTGAAATAGTTTATAAATGTAAAATATTTTAAGTAAAACTAAACAAAATTTATGTAGAAAAGCAATTCATATAAGTGATATAGGAAAATTGTTTTAAAATTTTTAGTTTGTATAATGTTAAATATAAAATTTTGAAACTATTTTAATAGTTTTCTATTAAAAATATGTTTTATACAACTTTTTTAAAAACTATTTTAGTAGTTCTTTTAAACTCTGGGCACTACCTTCTTTATTTTTATCATGCATAGTTGTGCTGACATTTCATTCAAATTATATTTTTCATTCTTGGTTAAAAGCATTCAGCTTGATTTGAATGTATCAAATTGTGTTGGCAAAATCTGAAGAAATTTACATACCAATAAAATATCTGGCAGCAGATATTCGTTTCTTCCTTTTAAACCGTTGTTCAGTTCCAACAATAAGTTTTTCAGTTTTGCTATATGTACATACATATGTAGACTCACATCTTCATTTGTGTTCCACATAAACGAAAAGAAATCAACACAGATTTAGAATAATTGATTTTTGGATCCCGCTTCAAATTGTAGTATTAATGATTCCCTAGCTTCTGCGGCAGATTCCTTATCCATTATCTTTTGGTATATTTCATCACTTACTGCGCTTGTATCTTCTTCAGTTGTTGCGGTGACTGGTAGTGGTATTGGATTCACTAATTTTCCATCTATAACATCAACTGCTCCTTCGTGATAATCCAATGAATCATGCATCTTGCGCTTCCAGATTGGATAATCCAATTCGTTTTGAAAAGGCTTGATGTGTTTGAAAAATTCATTTTTACTTACATATTACTCTTATAATCCTGAAGTATGTACATACATATTTTAATCTTGATGAAATGTCTTGTAAAATTCTTGCTTTTCTTGATATCTTCAAAAATTCTTTTATTTGAAGTTTCTTGAAAATTTTCTTAATATAATTTTCTGAATGAACAACTTTTGAGAATTGAAAAATAAACAAATCCAAATATTTTACTAATACAAAAATACAAAATCAGTATATAAAATGAGAAATGAGTTTTTTTATTTTCAACAGACGCTACCATTCAAAGGCAATGGTTAAGTTTTTGTGGCTGTGGAAATCAAATAAACTCCAAAACTGCATTCATATGTACATATGTACATACATATGTCTGTACTTTTTAGTATTGAGTACCCAAAAAATAGGTTCTAAAGATAGCAAAAAATCGGGTTTTTTGTGAAAAAGGCATTTTAATTATTGTTTTCTAAAATTAGCGAATGCAGATGACCTACATTCTTAATATTGTACTTACTTTTGCGTTCCATGTTATATTATTCCACTAATTAAAAAAAACTATATATATCGCACATTTGCAACTAAAGGTTCATAAGTCAAAATTAGGTGTTTATGAACTAAATACTTACCACAAAATAAACTCCGTATTATCAGTAAATGTCAAAATTACACATTTTGTCTTTGTTATGTATTATTTTTTCAAATGTATGACATGCAGAATTTATAACCTTTAGTTGCCACTGAGCGATGTACATATATATTTATATTCATACATAATATTTGATTCAGTTTTTCTTACTTAATTTCATAATTATTATTTACTTTATGTATAATAGTTAATAAATATTAAGGATAAAATTAATTGCACTAAGTTTAACACAAAATGTTTTCTTTAATTTTTACAACTATTTTAAAATATGTTTCATTGTCCCAATTTTCGTTATTAAGTATTTATAGTGGAATATAATTCGAAGGAAATTTTTGAGTAATCGATTAAATATTAAAAATTATTCGATTATTCGAACGAATGACGAATAAACTTTTTTGTTCGAATAATTTAATAAAATATTAAATCTGAATAATTAAACGAAAATTCTTTATTATTTAACTAAAAGTACGTTCACACCTAACAAATATTTGACGAAAAAGACGTAACCACTATTTTTTATAAATATTTGTTTGATCTTACGTGAGTTTTGTAACTGCAAAAATTTTCGAAACAAATAGTAAAGGCATTCTAAAGTGATAACTTCAAAGATATTTTATGTTTGTGCAAATAAATATACATATATTTAAAGGAAATCAAAATGTCGATTATTTAGGGGTCGCGATATAACTCTCAGGAGAGGGGTATTTCGCGGTACACTACATTTGCCATGGTGGCATTTTCTCCCCTTTACCACGATTGATTTCCTACTAAGGACCCTATTCGAGAATAGACTTAGATTTGTTTGGTATGCAGACGATGTCATAATCTAAAGATCTAAATTACTTGTGAGCTGGACTCAAGTGAGAGGCCTCAATGTTTACCAGGCGAAGACGGAAAGCTTTCTTTTTAATTTTAGTGTTGAACGATGTAATACATTTAGTGAATACTATATATAGTTTTTCTTTTTACCAACAATCATTTTTCCATGAAAAGGAGAACTCGACCCGATAATGGCCTAGGTGTATTTTTCTTATTTAATGTAGATACATCCATTCATCAACCTAACCTAATTAGCAATAAATAAGTTGTTTTTCATTTCCCGGGAAAAATCAAAAAAAAATTAAGAATAAGATACAATTTGTTTTTTTTTCGTCTGACAAAAACCATATTTAAAGGTTAAATAGATAGTAATTACATATGATAAATAAATAAACGTTAATTATTTCGTTTGGTGCGCGCAAAAGTTTAAAATAATAGAATTTAAAAAATCGTAAACATTTAGAAGGACTATCAGTGCATGTTAAAATAGTTATTACAAATTTCATATTTTAGGAAATACTCTGGTATTTAAAAAAATTATTTTAATTTTTTTGCAATTTATTTCAAAACCCCCAATTTTGCAAAAAAAAAATTGTCCTAAAATTAAAGATGATTTTCAATGTATTGCATATAAATTGATGAATTTAGTCACACATATAGTTCATAATTGGAGACTCAATATTGTTGAAATTGGTCCACAATTTCTTATATCACCCATACAGGAGTTAAATGGTTTTATCACAAAAAAATTGGAAAAGTTTCGAACCTACAATCCCTTAGTTGCTGGTTCGACGTCATACCCACTACACCATTAACTAGTCGTATTATTGCTTGTCATCTGATGATATTCACATAAAAATTTTCTTCCTGGTTTGTATAAATAAGAGAGTATTTGAAGCTACAAGTCCACAGGATGATATCCGTTGTCAGTTACCCCTTTTAGGAAATTAATGGGCTAACATATGGAAATATTTATCCAAAAAACCTTCCAGACCTATATAGAAAAACATAATCATAATATATATGTATGTATGACTTGGCAGTATTTGTCATTATAGACCTATTTTCAAGCTAATACACAAAACTTTTATTTTGTTGTTTCCCTTCACCTTCGAACTATGGTTTAGACGACCACTTTCTTTAGCCAAAACAATTTTTTTTTAATATTATGTTTTTGTACTTTTTTAATGTAATCTAGTAGGTCATACTTCAAAGGTACCAAAAATGCATTTGGTTTTTATTTACATAAATTTACAATTAAAAATTGGCTGTCAATGTTGGTTATTTCCCAATAAATTTTTAATGTGATTAAAAAACTAAATATTTTTTTAAGTTTGTGAATTATGTTTGCTAAAGAAATTAAAAGCAAATTAAAAAAAATATGGAAAAGAAAGCTGCTGTAAGTACTTTAATTATCAATAGAAATTAAGTTTAAAACAATGTCGCGATATGAAAAAATTAATTATTACGTATAACCTACAAAATCGTAGTAATCACCAACTTTATATAAGGTTATATAAAAATTCCGGACTCTTCCGGGGACAAAACTTAAAAACAAAACAGTTAGATCGGAATATTATTACTTACTCTAACTAACCTTTTTTCGAATTTTTTCGATTTCTGAGAAAATTTCTATTTTGTTGCAGATGGTTATTATTAAAAAAATATTTTTTTGGGAATATCGCTAAAAGAGAAAGCTAAATGTAGAAATAATTATATTCTATTCTAAAATATGTTCTGGAACAAATCGTCCAAGAGAACATTTCAAATGAGGTTTTCTAATATATAACGGAAAAAGTATATGGTTTGTGCAAAAGAATGGATGAAAAATGGAAAATTTGGCATTGTAAAGTAGACATTTTTTGTAGCCGTTATAATAATTGGTTGATAGCTGAAACCCTTTTTGAAGGGCAAAAAATCACCAATATTAAGTACAAGCGCAGTAAATTCGGAATTAAGACCATTAAGTGGCGTGCGTCTACGTCCAGAGTTTTCAAAAAAAAAATCGGAACGAAGCAAACGGAGATAAGTCTCTGAGCTTTCTGCATCTAAAAAATATGAGACCGATATTTTTGTGCGTACTGCACGTAAATCAGGTGATGTAGAAATAGCTACAGTCCGTGAAAAGCAAGACCTTTAAAAATGCGAAAATTTTGCACAAAAAATGAAAAAGCTGCAATAAATTTCTCCGAGGAAGAAGTATTAGCATGCTTCCTCGAAAATAATTTTTCAAAAAAACAATATTGTAACATTCGCCTTGAAAGCAAGGAAAGAAACTCAGATATACATATTTACTTATTACCATAGAATGATGTAATCAGAACTGAAATGTAGGCCCGAAGGTGCAATTGTAAGTGAAATAACTGCAAGTGTTCCTTTACAAATGCTGTTAATGCATACTGCAACTAGAATAGAACTACATAAAGAAGTTATGTAACCACAATGAATTCAGCTAAAATGGATCTTATTTTAAGCTATGGATTTGACCGTAGTCACATGCCAGGCAAAGTATAATCAAGCTTTTCAAGAGCCAAGTACTTCACGGAATGCAGATTATTCCCTTTTGACAACAACGGTGATACCTTTAAGACGTGTTCAATCTTCTAAAATAATTTTTTGGAGCAATTGGACTTCTCAAATTGTTTTTTCACCCCACTAAATTGGAATTTATAAAGGAAATAAAAGAGAGATGATTATTTAAAAAACAAATTAAAGAGGTCAGAAATTTACACGTACAAGTCGATGAAAATAAATCGCAGAAGCACAATTTAAGTTCTTTTTAACACTTATCATGGAGTGAATGAGTACCTTATAGTACAGGGCCAATGTACGCGGCATGCGGCTTCAAGCGGCAATAGCATTACCAAATTTAATAAAATTAATGTGTTTACAAAATTTTCCATATAAAAATATTGACACATTAGGAATATTTTGATTTGGCAATGATGAGCGACGCGGCAAAGTTGAATATTGTTCAACTTTTCCGCACGGCCGCTTGAAAATCAATTGCAATACAAAAAAAATTAATACAAAAAATATTTAAAAAACAAATAAAAATTATATTGGAATTAATTTGTGTTATTTTTAAATTCAAAAGTGATTGATTTATATATTTTTTTGCTCAACTGATTCCGCGTGCATTGGCCTTTCACCATAATTTTTAAGCGGAAAGCCGAGCAGCTAATTGCCGCGTACATTGGACCTGTACCTTTATGACAACCCAAGGATAGAAATGTGTGCTGGCTTGAATGGTGATGAATGAAAGGTATACAAGTGATACAATTGAAATTTCCATCCTTGTATGTTCAGGATTTACTCTGTTCATAACAGTTTTACCACAGTGTGTTCTCCATAAGACTCAACAGAGGCCAACGCATCTTTCTTTTTCATAAAATTAAGTGATTTTTTTGCAGCTTGGATGTTAAGCAACGGGGCGAGACCGATTGTATGGCTAATAGATGTAAATGGACCAATTTCAAAATTTTTTCACAGCATTCGGCTTTGCTGCTGCAAAAGATCCGACACCAAATGATGAAGTATCTTAAAAAATGCAAAAGTTTTAAGGATATTTATTTTGTCAGCCGTATTTTACCTTTTCATGAAATTGCCGATATGTACAGCGAATTGTTAAAAGTAGCTACAACGAAGTATTTCACATTCGTTATATTGAAGTTTCGCATTTGTGACCTTTAAAATTAATTTAGATTTAAAGAAAAATGGAGAACAAATTTTCGAATAATTCAAAATTTTCAATAAAATCGTATGTACATACATATGCATTTAAAAAACACGTTTGTGATATACTATATACACTTAAATTAAATATTTTAAATAATTGAAGTAGCTATGAGTAAATTAATTTAAATTTTAATTTTTTATAATGTATACAAGCTAAATACTAGATTGTGTGGATATTATTCGTATCATTGTTACATTTATTATTAATATTATTATTACTATTCTCATTGTTGTAAACGTTTTCTACGTCACTAGTACTATCACGATCACTGTCACTATTATATCCGTCAGTCATAATATCAATTGGATGAATTTTTAAACGTGGTGTTGGGTCTTCGGTCTTCATATTTTTATGTTTTTGGCTTCCGGTTGAATTTGCACTAATTACCATTGAGGAAGAGGATAAGTCCAGATACTGTAAAGTCGGTTTATTGGGTAGAGTCTTGCCAGAGTTTGGTGGGTGAATATTTATGGATTTAAAAGCACTATTTTCACCTCCCATTAATAATGGAACTGATGCTGTGTGTGATGAAAGTATTTGATCCATTATTTTTCCCTTCTCCTGTTTTGGATTTTTGCTGTTCGATTCCGCTGGAGGTGGACTTCCGGTACGGGTGAGAGTAATGCTTAAAGCTGGCGCTGTCGAGTTCAGATTTTTTTCGCCGGTATCGAGGTACGGTGTGCTCTCCATACGTTGATATATTGGATATAGGAGGGTTTGATGTTGGCTCAACTTCATTGGTTCTAACGAACTGTCGACCCCCGGTCTTCTCGTCAGTATCTGTGGTAGCTGGTGGGAGAAATGTGGTTCCGTAGAGAAATTGATGGGAGAGCAATGATTTTGTGGTGATATTGAGTCCCTTTTTCGTAGTAGATTCACACGTTGATGTCGACGCCATTTCGCTCGTCTGTTGGAAAACCAAACCTAATTGATCAATATTAAGAAATCATGTGTTAGTCTATAAAAGTGTCAATGTGACGTTATGATTGTTATTAATATGCATATACGTACATATGGATATGAACCCACTAGCATTCGTGTGTGTATGTGCGTGTGATATTATTTATTTATTAATATGGACTGATATTCATTAGGGTGGGTAAGTTTGTACGGATTAAACAATAAAAGATAAAGATTTTTTCGTTTTCCAAATTATCCGATATCGTGTGAATATGCGTTGAAGGGATAAAAAGGGTTTTTTAAATACAATTCTAGTAAAAGTAGTAAAACAAGAGAAAAATAAAAATATATTCTCAAAAATTAAAAAAGTAAACGAATGAAATTCAAGTAAATTTTGTTTCATTGTCATTATATTGAAAAATTAAAAACAAATCGTACGAATTGTTTTTCCAAAAAAATCATTAAATGTAGAACAAATATTGTTTTACTACTTTCTAATCGAAAATAATATTCAAGCCATAAATAGTAACATTTAAATTTTTACTTTTGCAGATTCTTCAATTTATGTATCCAATATCTGATCAGTGATATTGTTAACATCACTAAAGACTAGACTATATATAGACTAGAATATATACTAGAGTGTAGACTACAATATAGAATAGATTATATACTAGACTATATAATAGGCTGTATACTAAACTATAATCTAAACTATGGAATAGACTATATACTAGACTATAAGTTGGACTATAGACTAGACTAGATAATAGAATAGTCTGAGTATATTCCAGTCTATAGTTTAATCCAACGGTTCCCAAATGTGTAGCAAAATCCTAGAGGGTCCTCGAAGACGAACGATAATATACAAAGTAGATAATTGTGTTTGACTATATTTTATCAAAAATACTAAAAAAAAGCTCTGAAAAATTTTCTTACTTCTTCGAGATATCTTAACCTGAAGTTTGGAACAACCATAAATTTATAAAAACTGAATTATTTACTTAATTTCGTCTTTATTTTATGAAAAACTTATATGCCATAATTTCCCCATAAAAATACTTTTAATCGTTTACTGTAAAATAAAGGCAATATAAAATATTCCTTTATTTTACTTTAACATTTATACTGATTTGAAACGTTATGTTAAAATATCTCGTCAAAAGTAGATATAACAGGGGTTAACCAATTATTATAAAGATAGATTGGACATAATAGATTTTATAAATTAAGGTATCTTCGCTCTGTTATAAACTCTCAAAACAGTTTTTCAAACCTGATGTGATCGATAAATTCGGATTCGTAGGTATTTTTTAATTCATATTTAAATTCTTAATTCACAATACTTTCGCAAAGAGTTCATATGATATTTTATGCGGATAATTCACTCCACATGAGCATGGATGAAGTCCAACAGTTTTATATTATTTTCCCGAAAACTTTGGTGGCACATTAGCTTAAATATTCTGTTAACCCCTCTGCAATCGTAACATATTGTAAAAACGAGACTCTCTCGAACAATCATTTAGAACAATTAGATATCAAAATATGTATGGGGGTCCACAAAATTATAAAAATATTAACGGAAAATTGTCTAATAAATGTTATGAAGATCGGTCCATAATTGACCCTACCCCTCATAGAAAGTCCCCTTCCGAAAATTACTTAAAAATGGCTGTATAGCATTGTAATATTACGTAATCTAATTATAACCACATTGAAGGTCCTATTCAGAAAGCCAGCGTGACGTTCTTATTAATCTATTAATCAAAGTCCATATATAGGACCACCTTCTGAAATTGATTTTTTTACATTGGATTTGATTGTGGATATAAAAGGTTCGGCATAGCCGAATATAACACTCTTACATGTTAATTATTTTAGTCATACCGAAGTTATATCCAATTATCTTGGAAGTGATGTTATTCCGAAAATAACATTCCTGACTAACAGTGATAGGAAGATTCTTAGGAATTACGTTCAGGAAACTGAGTTTCTGAACACTGAAAAATAATTCATTCAGTTCCCTTTCTTTTTTTCATGATAAGGAGCGCACAACAGGCCCGATAGTGACCAGGTGTATTTCTTCGGATTTGATGGAGTACACATCCTCCTATCAACCTACCGAAATATGTCAAAATACCGATAACGCTAAATTACCAATATCGAAATGATTCCAAATACCGATAACGCTGATACCATTACCGAAATAAGTTCAAATACCGATACCGCTATCTTATCACCGCTTCGAAACGGTTGCCACCTTTGTTGTAAAACAATGTCATAGTGAAACTTCTTTATATTCTTCGGTTTGTTGTATGAATTTTGTATGAAAATGAAATAAATTATTAATATCTTTATGAATACGGGGGTAGGTCCTTAAATGGATATTAAAAACACTCAATAAATCTATATACATATGTCTGTACATTATTACTCAAAAAGTATCAATTGTATCGATTCCCTTTAATCTGTACAAACCCTTAATATTGGTATAAAGTATAAAAAGGTAATTTGTGTTCCAATTGCTATCAGAATTTTAAGATATTAGTACAATTACAATATAAATAGATATGTATAAATATTGTTTTGTTAATTACATCCGTCGGGTTAGAAGAATTAATAAATTGTTACACTAAGATACATAATACGTGACGAAAATAAACTGAAGAATATAATTACCTGAACTCTTGCTTCGCTAAGAGATGTCCGAGAGGCTAACTTTTCTCGTGTGCTTACGCATGGATAGTGTGACTTTTCAAATTCCTTCTCCAGTTCCTCCAGTTGATCGGGACTAAATGTGGTTCGATTACGTCGAAATTTTGGTTGATCGCTATCATCCGATTCTGAATCCTCACCTTCAATATCTTAAAATAAGAAAAAAACGAAAAGAATATGTGTTCCAATGGAAAATATTTCTAAATTATTGAAAAGTAGCCGTATATATATAATATGTATTTATTTTCTTATACTAATACATATATTAAGATGACTTAAGCTTAAAATCAATTACATTAAAATAAAATAAAAAATAAAATATATCCTTACCAATCATTCTGTTGGCTTCTGGGGATCCCATTGTGTCATGTCCACTTGATGTTGGCGATGTTCCAGTGAGAGAAACGTTTTTATGGGTCTGATCAATACTGGTTTTATCAATTGGTTTTTCTAAAATTGAATTCTGATTGGTACTTGGATGCCACAGTTGATTAGCTGTCGGCAATGGTGTTGGCCATGTTTGAAAACTTGCATATGGATGTTGTGGATTCATGTAACCATAACTAGCGGCACGTGCAAACTCGGCAGCAGCTCTTTCTGCAGCTCTATTTCGTAGAATTCTATTTATTGATGATACTGATGGTGCTGTGGCATTCGTACAAACACCTGAGAGACAAAATGAAGGTAGCATTACTTAGAGTTTTAATCATTTATATTTTTTATTTAACTAGCAGCGTTAGTTTATATGTGTGTTATTTTGTTATTTAACCCTTCCCAATAAACATCGATTCAAACCTGTGAATATTTTTGAAAATTTTCTTAACTAAATAATGTATTTTCCAAATTGTTTTCAAATTTTAAAGTTTAGCCTTTGAAATAAACATGATAATTTCAAAAAACGTTTAAAAAAATATAATGTGTGATATTTATAAAATTTTCAAAGTTTTGTTTTAATTGAACTTAGAAAAGTTTCTTTCAAAAAATAAATTATTTTAGAAAAATTATTTTATTTTAGAAAAACAGAACATTTTTTCTACAGCAAGGGAGCGAAAAAACGTTAAATATGGGAGAAATAATCGGAGATATAAAAGAAAAATATGCTAAAATAAATGTATGAATGTTTTATTTTCAGGTGATGTAAAAAAATATATGAATTTTGCAATAGTTAGAGCATTATAATTAGGGTTTGAAATATGTATGAAAATAATAATAAAGAATACTTGAAATACGTTTGAAAATTTTTTTAGTTTCAAGTTTACCTCTAGCCTTTTTTTAAATTTGAAATACATTTGAAAAATACGTTTGATTTCTAACTGCCTTTTTGTTTGAGAAGGCCATAATTTTCCATTTGAAAACAAAAATTTTCAAATTTGTTCTCAAAGGCTATGTATGAAATTTGAATAGGTTTTCAAATACATATTTACATCATTTCAAAGGTTTTTGCTTATTGGGTTAAATTGAAATACACACATAAATACATCTGAATAACACTCCTGGTAAAAACGTACATTGAAAAGTAGTGAGTTAAAAAGCTAATAAAACCTATTTTTCACTTCTTCATTAGCAATTTTAACTCATTATTTTAACACGGCGATGTTATTGGAGGCAAGTACTTACCACGCTCGCTTACAAATAGGACCATATGATACCCTACACCAGTTATGAATATTAAATGTGATTTATTTTTCATAATAAAGCATTTATGTTGAATATTACATTGTTTACGATATATTTAAGCAATTTATGGACGAAAAACTCATTTTCTGAAAGGTTCTTTATATAGGGCTAGGGCCACCGATTCCGATAAAATTTTATATTTGGGGCATTTCACGTCAAGTGAACCAACTTTTGAAATCGATGTCTTCCGATCGCGATGAAATTTGCACCATAGTTAGTTCTATTGGATAGTAATTCAGACACAATTTTTCAACAAGATCGCTCGTGAACTTTCTAAGTTAGAGGCGGTCAAAATTTGACATTTTGGCCATGCAGGTGTTTTTTCTCATCCATGTAACTTATTACCTATTGTTCTTAGCAAAATGTGTCCCAAATAGTTTAGATAGCTATTTATGCAATCTTTCGAAAAAAAAATTAAAAAAATTTAATAAAATATTTTTGATTTTTTTTTTAAATCAAAAACATTTTATTTTTTTTTATTTTTTTTAGAAAGCTTAAGTCTTTTCCTAAGCGACCTATATGGTCGCTTAGTGGGATGCGAGTGGGATATCTATCAAAAAAAAAAATATTTTGTAACTCAAGATTTAAAATTTTTGGTTTTTTTTTGCAAAATCAAAAACTTTGTTGACTTTTTTTAAAAAAATGGACCCATTTTTTATTTTTTTTTTGCTCAGAAGAAAGCTTATGTGTTTTCCTTTAACACCCTTTTTGTCGCTTAGTGGAATGCGAGTGGGATATCTATAAAAAAAATGTTTTGTAACTCAAGACATACAATTTTTTACTTTTTTTTGAAAAATCAAAAACTTTTTTGACTTTTTTTCCAAAATGGACTCTTTTTTATTATTTTTTTTTTCTCAAAAGAAAGCTTAGGTCTTTTCCTTTAAAACCTTTTTGGTCGCTTAGTGGGATGCGAGTGGGATATCTATCAAAATAAATGTTTTGTAACTCAAGACAAATGTTTTTAAATTGATTTTTTTCATATTTGTGTGTAAACCTTAAAAATTAAACTTACGCAGAGAAACTAGACACATTAGCCTTTCCGATGGTATGTAACATACCCAACTAAAATTTCATAGCCTCGATACTGTAATACCCATAATATGTTAACCTCAGGAATAAAAATCACTTTTTTTCTATGGAAATGTTGAATAATTTAATAATTAATTTAATATATAATAATATAATAATAATATTTAATATATAATAATATAATATATAATAATATAATATAATAATATAATATTTAATATATAATAATAATAATAATAATAATAATAATAATAATAATAATAATAATAATAATAATAATAATAATAATAATAATAATAATAATAATAATAATAATAATAAAAAGATGAATAATTTAGTAAAATTTAATCTTAATCACAATAGATCAATTTATATAATAACTATTTTTACACTTAATTTATGAAGTTTTTAAATTTTCAAATATCCATATTTTTATCCTCCTTATTTGTCACCTTTATTAGCTGCTTTTTTTGTCAATCCTTTCTTGACGTTATTAGATTCAGCACCTGATATTTTAACAATGAAAATCACGTGCGCTGAAAACTACCTCTAACTCAGACAAATTTTGGGGGTGGAAAATTAATAGCGGTCGGCCTCATATTGCACCCCTCCAGTGTCTATTATCGGTCAGTTGTTGTGGTTTTTATTTTTAAGGTTTTAGAAACACTTACACACAAATATGAAAAAAATCAATTTAAAAACATTTGTCTTGAGTTACAAAACATTTATTTTGATAGATATCCCACTCGCATCCCACTAAGCGACCAAAAAGGTTTTAAAGGAAAAGACCTAAGCTTTCTTTTGAGAAAAAAAATTAATAAAAAAAAGAGTCCATTTTGGAAAAAAAAAGTCAAAAAAGTTTTTGATTTTTCAAAAAAAAGTAAAAAATTGTATGTCTTGAGTTACAAAACATTTTTTTTATAGATATCCCACTCGCATCCCACTAAGCGACAAAAAGGGTGCTAAAGGAAAACACTTTGCTTTATTCTGAGCAAAAAAAAAATTAAAAAATGGGTCCATTTTTTTAAAAAAAGTCAACAAAGTTTTTGATTTTGCAAAAAAATTCAAAAATTTTAAATCTTGAGTTACAAAATATTTTTTTTTATAGATATCCCACTCGCATCCCACTAAGCGACCATATAGGTCTCTTAGGAAAAGACTTAAGCTTTCTAAAAAAAAATAAAAAAAAATAAAAAGGGCCCATTTTGAAAAAAAAGTCAAAAATGTTTTTGATTTTTTAAAAAAAAAATCAAAAATATTTTATTAAATTTTTTTAATTTTTTTTTTTCGAAAGATTGCATAAATAGCTATCTAAACTATTTGGGACACATTTTGCTAAGAACAATAGGTAATAAGTTACATGGATGAGAAAAAACACCTGCATGGCCAAAATGTCACATTTTGACCGCCTCTAACTTAGAAAGTTCACGGGCGATCTTGTTGAAAAATTGTGTCTGAATTACTATCCAATAGAACTAACTATGGTGCAAATTTCATCGCGATCGGAAGACATCGATTTCAAAAGTTGGTTCACTTGACGTGAAATGCCCCATTTATATAATATTTATTTGTGCTGAATTTCATCGCGATATTAGTGTTTACAGGTGAATTTTGGACATTCAAGTCATTTTCTAAAAATACGTTAGAATCATGACTGTGTGAACATAGTATAAGACATCATTTTACTATTTATAATAAATAATATAACATTCTTGTTTTCAATTTAACTTTTTTGTATTTCAAATATAATAGTTTAGAAACACAAAGGTATACATACGTAAATGTTTTAAATATTTTCATATGATTTTGCTTTGACAATGTAAAAAAAATTAAACGGCTAGTGTAACCTTGTGAAAGCACATATAACTAAAATCTATATTGTTATTATTCCGTTGCATTTTTTTCTCGTTTTGCCTTAAATATAACAACATGCTACAAACAAGAACTAATTACTCAGCCAGTACTATTCTGCTGCTCATTAAATAACGTCCGGATGTTAATAAATTATCCAATCAATAAATCTTCATGTGTCCCACTGTTTAACTCAGCAAATTGGAAATTATACAATAGCCACAGGGATTGATTAGTGCCATACTAGGGTACTCAATTATTCGGTTATTTTTAAATTAATTAATTCGGCAAATAGCTATTCGAGGTTTTAACTTAATCTGTTAATAAATTGATAATGTAAAATTATTCGGTTAATCGAGTAAAATAAGTTATTTTAAAATGTCTATTATGAGAAGCTTTTAAGTATTATATAACTTCTTAACTGTTTCAGTTTGTCTTTAGTTTGAGCACAAACCAAAACAAACTAAAATCACTTGTTATTTCGAATAAAAGATGTTTTAGAGTAGAAATGCAATCTTGCAGAGACGCATGCGTTTTCTGGTTCCAAGAGAAAATGCTAATTAAATAGAGCGTGACTGCGGTTGCGCATTTGTAGGCATTTTTTATTATTTGTTTTTGTATTTCATAGTTTATTTTATCTTCTTCATCCTTGGCATTCACAGAAAAATATTAAACACATGATTTTTGTTCTTAGAAAGTACGAATGACATGGCAACTCTAAAGAAAATTCGCAAAGTGGCCGTTCACACAGGAAACTTTTTTGGGAAACTTTTGATTTTGTGTGTGGGAGAGAGATATTTGATATTTCGTTCTCTTTTTCTCGCACACAAAATCAAAAGTTTTCCTGTGTGAACCGGCAAAAACAAATTAAAGTAAAATTTAATTTGGTGCGGATTTCGTCTACGATTTAAATTGTCAAAACTCAATATAATAAATAACCGTCTCAGCAGCCGCAAGGTTGTATTTGTAGTCTAAGCAGTCATACTGTTTTATTCCATATTTTTATAGTTATAGATATAAATTTCGAAAAAAATACAGCAAATATAATTATAAATTATATCGATAATTAAAACATTTGCGATATTATAGTGCAATAGTACTATAAATAGGAAACTTCTCGAAAGCATGTCTGACAGAAGTTTTTGATAACAAAGATATCAGCGGTGTACAGAAAATTGATTTGAACAGACAAATAGACGGTCGTGGCTTAATCGACTCCGCTGTCTATAAGGATCCAGAATATATATACATTATAGGGTCGGAAAATTGTATTGTGGAAATAACAAACGGAATGACAAACTTATATATATGTATATACCCTTCTCACGAAGGTGAATTCTGTTAGATTTCTTTTCATCGTTTCTTGTTTAAAGAACTTAAATTTTAAAATTAATAAAATTAATTTTAAAACAGCCATGTCACCAATGAAGAACAATTGGATTGCTTTTATAAAAGCCTAATAACTTTCTTTTATAAAAGAAAATGTCGGAGAGAAAAACATAAATATTTTAAAATTTTTCAAATATGCACAAATTGTATTGATAACAAATTAATTTAAATAAAAAAAAAAAAACATTATTGGACTGATTTCTAAAATAACAAAGTGTATATTTAAAAATATGTAAAAGAATTGAAAATTCGAAGAAATTAATTTGGTTTATTTCGCATGTTTAATTAATTTAATATTTGATTTTTTATCTTTTGACATTGTTATGTATGTTTGTTTTGATTGTTTTTTTTTTCATTGAGAACATAAACTTATGACTTGCTGCAAAGATCTGTTCAAAATCACTGTTACTACACATTAGTAGGTACAATATACAGTTTGATTGTGAATTGAACAAATATCTTTGTGTGTATTTATAGGTAAGTTAATGTCAAAAGAATTAAAAACTGTTGGTATAAAATTATCGGTTTTTAAAATTTAGTTTTTCAAAAACCAACTAGTTTTTTAAATGGCATATTAGTTGAAACATTAACGTTTCAGCAGTTTTACTGTAAAAATTTCAAATAATCGGTAAATTCATCAAATTAATCGGTTTATTTTATATTTGGCAAATTTCATTTATTCGAACAATTAATTAAACAAAATTAATCGGTTAATCAAACTACATGTAATTGATTGAATACCCTAGTCCTTAACATATACAGCCGAAGCTCGGCATAACGATTAACAAAAATTGTGCACTTTGTATAACAAATGAAAAATGTGTGTATTTTCAAAAGAAGTTAAAATTAATTTAGCAGAGAATTCTGATTACTTTCAGTTTTTTAGTCAGTGATAATTTATAAGCAGAATAAAAATGTATCATTCGTTATACTGAGCTCCTATTGTGTTGTGTCATTCAGAAACATACCATAAACACATCAGTGGAGATGCCCACCTTGATTGTGAAAATAAATGAAGGTATACTCGTACGTATATACATACATACTTAAGTAAATATGTATTATATTGCATAAGGAATATGTGTGTGTGTGTTTGTTATTTTAGGATTTGCGTTATCAAGATTAAAGATTGCTTTTTTTTGTTTCTTGCTCATTTCTTTAATTCAATTGTTGATTTCCTTCAATTGTTAATCGTTTGTTTCTATCCATCGCTGTACATTAAATGAGCTTCGAGCACATTCATATGTACATACACACATACATTGTAACCAAAGTGAATGAATGAGTGATTGACCAAACCAGCGAGTTAATAAGTACACATGTATAGTTCTATATGCAGATACATATTAATGGATTGCTTACCTTCAGATATCAGTCGTTCTCGTATTTCCCACGCAAATATTGTAGGATTCTCACGTTTGTATTGTTCAATGTTTGATACTACAGCTGGGGTAGCAACTTTAGGCTTTGATCCTCCAATTAAACCAGGTGGTCTCAGCGTACCTAAAATGTCAAGTGACACTCTTTAATAAGACAAGTTTACGAAAATAAAACAAACTTAAATGAGTTTTTTGCTTACAAAATAATGATTATTTCTTGAGTTTTATTTTTCGTTCAGAAAATAATAATTATTTTTTGAGTATTATTTATCACTCAGAAAATAAAAGTTCTTTTAAATTTATTAAAAAAATCCTTGACTAAAACAAAAAAAAAAATTATATCACTTTTTGCGAGTTTTCAGAACAACAAATATAAATGATTGAAAGTTTTTAAGATAAAAATTGTGTCTGTATTCTCAGAAAAAATTCATAAAACTTAAAAATAAATTTAATTTTTTAAGCTAAAAATAAAACTAAAAAAATTTGCATTCAATTGGAAAAGTACAAAAGTGGAAGGTGTTACCTTTCTTCTACACTCTTAATTATTCGATTCGAAAACTGATTCAGAATGATTTTTTTCTTGATTAATTGAGCAAACAATAGATAAAGCACTTTACAAACATACATATGTATGTACACAGAAAAAATTATCGGTAGTTTATTTTCAATTAACATGTTTTCCTCTTTCTTTAACTTTTATTTAAACAATTTTTTAATTGTCATAATTATCTCATTGTTTTGATCCTAAGTATACAAATTTGATTAAACTTTTAATTGAATCAATTAATTTTTTAATTGGCTGAAAAAGTTTTTCCAGCCGACTTTTTTTATTTTGGTTTTTTGTTTTGATATTTTATTTAAATAATTTCATTATTTATAACGAAAAATAATTCTCAAATAGTCAATATTTTAGGCATAAGAAGTTGAAGTTTCATAAATATTTTAAAATTTATAAATCACTTTATTTTTTCAAATGTGACAATAAAGAGATATTTTTGAGAGTGCTTAACGCATTGTTAAAGGTAAAGGAATCCTTTAATGTTGTAAGCATTCAATTAATGCTTTGATTGTTTCAATCATCGACTTTATTGATTTTTAATACATTTTTAACCAAACTGTTCAATTTATTTGATTAATAAACTAATTAAAATGTAAGTTTTATTTTATTAAATATTTAATTTATCCAATTAATGAATTAACTAATTTTAAATTTTGAATTTAATTACTGATGTTAATTGTTTTGATTATTTCTTTAATTGGAAAAAAATATTTTTTTACAAATTTCATAATTGATATCATCATTTTGTTGATAGGTGTAAAACTTGCTTGATACAATCAATTTGATAATTAAAACACATTTTCAGTTTTTTCTGTGTACATTAGAACGACTCACTTTGTATGGAAAGCAAAAACGTGAATTTGTTACCCCTCTCAAAATTTACCATGATTTGTTTTATGATGATTCCCAAAATATTTTAAGTCTAGCGATGACCGTTCGTGAGCTGGATCAAATTTAAAAAAGGTATTTTTAAATTATTTTTTTAAATTTCAGTTTTGTTTTGAAACAATATATCCAATATGGGGTATCGTTTGAAATGATGTATTAATCAGAAATTTCCGTCTGCTCATAATTGTTATATTCCAAAAAATTTAAAATTGTTAGGTTTTTCACTAATATAAATAAAATTAATGCACAATTTTGCAAATTTTGCACAGTACTAGACGTGGCTTCAAAAACCCGTTCAAATGATACCACGTATTGGTTATTTTGTTTAAGAAAAAAAATGTAAAATTTAAAAAAATAACTAAAGAGGGACTTTTTTGTAACCGGTCCAGCTCACGAACGACCAACGATAGACTAGAAATATTTTGGGAACCATCATAAAACAAAACAAAAATTTTTTGAAGCTGAGTAAAATTTTGAATTGAACATGAAAAATCATGTCCCCCATAGGATATTTTCTTGAAAACGAACGGACAACACTAAACCCAAAATATTTTGGGCAACATCATTTTATGTGAGTCGGTCTAATGTATATATGTTTTAAATTATTCAATGAATGTTATCGTTCCCAAACTTACCCAGTAGTTTAGATACAGCATTTTGTTGGGTCAACAAATGTTGTGCTAAATCATAACCACGAAGTCCAAATCGTGAAAGTTCCAACAGTCTATTCTGGGAGGCGAGTGTATTCAATGGTATGGTTGGCGGTCCGTTTCCGAAAACGGCATTCAATGATGGCGGGGTTGCTATTGAATGTGGCATTATGGGATTAACAGAACAAAGTCCAACTGAAATAAAAATATGTAGAAGATTTTTATAGATTAGTTTTATTACCCGGTGTTCTTCGCTACCCTCATCGCAATTAAATAAAATAGACATAAAGGCTTGAATACAACTAAGCGTTTTTCAAAATATTCATTACGGTAATTCCACAGACATTTCGACTACTTCAAATTTTTAACACTTTCGATTTAGTTATAACTCGAAACGCATATTTTACTCTTTCGATTTTTATGGCGTATAAATTGGATCCTTAACTTATGCGGTACATATTTTATGGGTCTCTAAAGTAGGGTATGTCGGGTATTTTTGTTAAAAATTATAAATGTTGATGAATGAAAAACTTTGGAATATATCCGATTCTAACAAATGATGTTTCGTTCGACAGGTCTTCGAATACTCGTTTTTGATATTTTATTAAAATTAGATGAAGTCCTGGCACAAGGATCAGAGCGTGGCAAATGTCCTTTATCCTTGAATATGTTAAAAAAAGATAGTTTATTTTTCATATTTTTTTATGACAAATAGACAAAATTATTGTTATTGCTATGTAAAATTTTTAGAATGGGATCTCAAGGGTTTGGAAGTTATATTAGTTTTTATTTAGCCACATTTACAATATCCATAGGAAATGAGAGCATTTTACACATTTTAATACGTTTATAGTCTAGTAATTAAGGTTTTAATGCCGAATAAAGAAAAAATTACCACTGACCACCAACTTAATATTATAAATACGATGGTAAAAAATATCTGAAATCATTTCTCATATACTTGAAATATTGGAGGTCAATGGTCAAAATAATAAATTTTTTGATATATTTCCCTTATCGTACATCCTACAGATTAAGGAGTCATTACAAAATTTGTATAGAATCAAATTTACGGCATTTTGGTTTCAGAATTTTTTTTCGTATTATCAGCAGTTTTGGAGTTATAGTAATTTTTCGTTCATTTGAGATATGTTTTTCTAACCTCAATATATTTTGTACTATAAACATCATTGTGATAATTTTTTATACAGCCTTTAGTAAGAAATACATATAACTATTACATTATACTTTTCGCGTCAGACTTACTCTCTGACCCATAATGTAAATTTTAAGATTAAATTTGAGGCTAATCGAAATTAATGAAACTTGATACGCATTACTCGTTGGGTTAAAGAATCAACATCGCCGATGTTAACATATATCGGTTCATATATACATACAACATGAAAGTTATTAAATATTGCATTATGTATGTATGTGTTTTACTATATAATAACTGAATCCGATATCAATAAATTTCGGTGGATTCAAAGCTTTGATCAGTTTTATTATATCAACCAAGTTTTATTAATTTCGATTCATTATTACAGCCTCCAGTTTAATTTACAAATTTACATTACAAGAGATCGCACTATGGGTCAGAGAGTAAGTCTGACGCGAAAAGTATAATATAATGTTTTTGTTTTTTTTTTCGCAAAAAGTTCAAAAAATTATAGTTTTTTGAGGAAAATTTTTAAAGGTTGTCTCGGATTTTTGATCATATCTCCGTTTGCTGATTTTAAATAGAAAAGTTCTCGAAAACATGTCTGATAGAATTATAAAAACTGATTTCAACAGACAGACGCACGGACATGGCTTTAGATCAGGGATGTACTTTTATGTACAAGGAAAACAGTTCGTCATTTTCTTTTTATACCCTTCACCTAGTGAAAAGGGTATATAAAGGTTTGTCATTTCGTTTGTATATTTTACAATATAGCTTTCCGATCCCCTAAAATATATACATAGCATATATTTTGGATATTTAAAGAGAGCGGAGCCTGTATGTTTGTTGAAATCAAGTTTTTGAAGGCTCCACATATCTTTGGGATCCAAATGTTCAGACATGCTTTCGAAAAATTTCCTATTTAAAATCAGCAAAAACGTTCCATAAATAACGGCAAAAATCCCAAATAACATCTAAAAATTTCAACCAAAAATTTTCAATTTTAGATTTTGACTGGAAAATGTCATTTACAGTTATTAGTATATCAATAATGACTTGTACTAAGTAAACAGAAACTTCTTAACTTAAAACTAATAAATTAATTTAAGAAGAAGATCAGTTGAACATTATTTTGTCAAAAACCGCGTTTTGTGAAAACTGGTCTTTACGCCCTTACTCGCATCCATGATTCATATATCGGGAAGGAGGCCGGCTAGAAAAGTCAGAACGTCATCCTATAATCATACATGAAAAATCATGTTTAGCAATTCACCTTGTGAATTACTCTTATGAAACTCTTCTTCATGGCGTACATCTTAGAGCGTTGAGACAATCATTTTACATCTCACGTATTATAAGTCTCATCAGAAAATGTATTCGAGGTTGTAAACTATTAAAGTTATATGTAGCTGTTTTCGTATGCTTCTCCACGAAAGCAGTACATTTAGAAGTAAGCATAATGTTTTACCATGTTTTGACAGATTTACTGGTCGAAGAGATCTCCCTAAGTCTATGTTCTCTGGTAATGATCGAAATTTTCCTGGTGCAAGCTTGAAGCTTCTTAAAAATCATAAAATTTTCCTGAAAGAAGCTTATAAGTTATTAATTAAAAATATATAATACACACGGTTTCACAAAGTCATAATACTATAATACCACAATTTTCCTCATGCCGTAAAGTAGATGGATTTTGGCAATAAATACTTCAAGGATATACCCTGGCTTGCCTCGGTACTTATATCGAAATATAGATTTCACCGTGCATCAGTCTTTTAACTTACTCTTCCAGCGAATTTGTGTTTAAACCACAGCCACTACGTGAATCCCGAATAGAGTTTGGGGTTCGGGAAATCCGTTCCGGGAATTCTCGGGAAAAGTTTGTCGGGATTTCCATGGAAATTTTCCACAAAATAACGGAATAGTTGATCTTTTCTTATTTTAAATTAACTCTAAGAAGTAACAATGAATCTTATTAATTTATTATTTAACTATTCCTCTGCCTATGCACAGTGGGGCAGAATGGAAATTTTTTGGAAATAAATCTGGCATTTCTAAACGGCTGATCCGATCGGGATAAAATTTGGCGTGAGCGTAGCCAAGGAGTATTCGAGTTTAAGTTTTGAAGATGAACCCTGCAGATGCCCCAAGGACGGCGCTGTGGCGGCTCAAAGTAGGGTACCTACGACATGTAAAATTTTTAAACTCGTGCCATTGTTTTTCACCCAAATACAAAGATTTTTATATTATGTGAAAGCGCTCGACGAGATCTTGAAAAAACATGCTTGGACATACTACTTATCTCTTATAATATCCGAGTTTAAAAATTTAGTGATACAAAATTTACCATACCTTGGTCCGCCTTTTTTTGAATGCCGGGCGTAATTTTGGACCAAATGGACTCAATTTATTCTTGTTAGTTAGACAACAAAATTTCCAATAATATACAAAAAATTTCAGATCAATATCGTTTACAGATCCAAAAATATACGTTTTTTAATTTAAAAATTCAAAAAATTTTAGATTTTTGGCGTTTTTTTGCCAAAAATGTGTCTTAACTCTTTTATTAATAAAATAAAATTTTTATTAAGAACATATAACAATTTTATAGTTTTCTAAAAGGTATCTTTACGCAGAACGCTTTGGCGTAAAAAACTTGTCCTATTTTTTGAAAATGTTGCCACTGCGTCCTTCCGAATATGACCTATTTTTTTATCAAAACTTCAACTTTGGGCGACATGTTCTAAAATCCCAAAGCTGGGATCAGAAAACTGAAAGCAGTTTTGGAAACCTCAATATGTTTTCTATTTACTCCAAAAGTATTTTCCTAGCCCTGAAAGAAATGTGGACCCTATGGGCAAAAAAGTAAAAAATCCCATTTTTGGGATTTTCATTCCTATTTTTGGGAATTGCGGGATGCCCTTTGACCTTTTCAATTTTTTTTTGCATATTCTTATTTGAAATGACAAATTTAACAAGCGTTGAAAATTTCATTGAGTTTTGTTCATAAATAAAGATTTTGTCATATATTACATATTTGTTTAATTTCTAAAACTATGATTTATATCAAAATTTTAATAGGATCGCAGATAGCTACAACAATTTAGTCCATATTTATCCCTTAATATCATTTTTTAGTTAGATATGGAAATTCTCGACCCTTTACAAAAAATTTCAAGCCAATATCTCAATTACATACATTCAAAAATATGTTCATTTAAACCTGTGTCCTTTAATTTCATCTTTTTCATATTTTAGTATTAAGTATGACAGAACATACATTTGGTGTTGAATAAAATATTTGGACAATTTTTAAAAATTATTTAGTTAATTATTTTATTATAATATTGTATATAAAATAAAAAAAATTATAATTTTATTATGAGCCACGCACAACAACACCTAAATCACCCCACACAAATTACCTTTCCCGCCCACCGAAATATAAAACACAATTTAATACAATATCATCAGTTAGTATAATAGCTTTTTTTATTTGAACTGTTTATCTTAAACATAATACAATTAATTCTTACAACCTACTTATATAGTTAATTCCTAACACTACTTATTTTCTATAAAATAATCTGTCATATCGGTATACATATCCAGAAGGTAATATAAGTCCTTTAAATCTTCCTTGTTTTGAGATGATAGAGTTTCATAACAAATCCATCTTTTTCGCATAGTTGAAAGAACAGGATCAGAAGATAGAAGTAAACTATTAAAAATATCTTCATTCTGTGATTGCCTGGAGCATTTTCTTGAGCTGAAAAGTTGAACATGCTTAAAATCTCGATTCCTCGCTTCCTGGGCTTCTTCTGTTAACTCTCCAAGTGGAAGAATATTCGATTCAATTATTATTTGACCATGACACAATACTTTGTGTACTGTTGGTGTTAGTTCCCTCCATGGATACAGAGATACAAGTAATTTAGAAATTTCAGATGTGTATTCCCCAAATCGATTTTCATTAATTTTATGTTTACTATTCAGTGCCATTAAAATAGTTTTAACTCTTCGAAGCAACTCC